TGATAGTGAAAGGTGTCCCTGCCTCTGGCAAGGGGTGGCACTGGATGTGCTTTCAAATCCCTCCCCACCCAAGCCATTCCGATTGTGTAATATTCACTGCCCATGTCCCACATCAGCCCAATCAGTAACGCCCAATGCCASATCAGCACTTGTAGGAGAGCAACACACTCAATCCAAGTTTTAAAATTTTATTTATATACATCTGTCCATGCAGATTTACTCCCGAGCCATTAGCTTCTGCTTTTTCAGCTTCTTCTGGGAGATCTGGGAAACAAACACAAAGAGAAGAAAATGATGAAATGAGATGCCTTTCCAAAACATCCCAAAGCTSTATTTTAGAATTGTTGAGAATGATTAGAAATTCCCTCACAATTGACACACCCATCAGACTTGCACATAAACAGGAGTCCCCACAAGCACTACAYTGCTTGCAGGCTCTAAATCCAATGMATTTTAYTGCACACCCCARGTTCACGCAGTCCAGGAATAATGTAGCTGCTCCAGACGAGAGAAGAATAAACCCTCTATGCAATTAAAAAAAGGGTTTTCGGGGATTAAAAGTGCTTAATACTGTATTGAAGAATTAAAAATGGAGTTGCTCAGAAGGAACTGTTTTTTGTTTTCATGGGTATTCCAAAGGTGTCCTAAGATWGTCATCACAGCAACCCCTCTCTGCTGAATGCTCTACTGTCCCAACACTGGTTACAGGGAATGGAGCACACAACATGTGGTACCTTTTTCTTCTGGGCAACTTCCTCCTCTGGCTTGGGCACGATCTGCTCCTTCTCTGTGAGGATCATCTCGATGTGGCACGGGGAGCTCATGTAGGGGTTGATCCTGCCATGTGCCCGGTACGTGCGCCGGCGCATCTTGGGAGCCTTGTTTACCTGGATGTGCTCGATGACCAGGGAATCCACATCAAGACCCTGRCAAGGAATAAAATCTGTGACCCATTTTCATCTTCAAATAGATAATCCCTGCAGTAAAAATGTGAGTTGTCACCCTAATGTCAATGAAACAGCCAAGCTCTCTGGCACCACGGAGTTGAGGGTTTTCCAAGCATTCACCAATGGAACTGCTAAGCTTGGCGGTGTCAGGGAGATGAGGACTTACCAAAGCAAGCACCAATCAAAATCATGAAGACCACCCCTCACACATCACGAATCATTAAAAATCATGCTGATGGCTCACTATTTACATTTATTTCATGGTTACTCAAAGTTGTCATTGATCATTCCAACACTGCCATCAAAGCTACCAAACTAAGCACTATAAAAGCTACATAAACCAACCAAGAATCTGAGGATTTCAAAGATTTTAAAAATATCTAAACAACCCTTCAATGGAAAAAAAATTAATTTCATTGTTCCACGTGAAAAATTGCTGCCATTTTACCTTGGAAGAATACACACAGCCTGTTAAAACAGGGAGTCATACCAAAGCCTCCACACATTTGTGGACAAAGCAGATGGAATGTGGCTCTCCAAGTCAGTGATCCCCAGACCAAGGGTGCTGACACACAGCATGGCCCCAACACCAGTTAACACCCACCTTGAGCTCAGCATTGCTCTCTGCATTCTTCAGCATGTGCAGCAAGAACTCTGCGCTCTTCTTGGGCCACCGRCCCTGCGTCCAGCCCCACTGCTTGGCCTGGAATGAGAGGACAGCAATGGGAGTCCTGCTCTTGGCATGGTACAACTCAACTTAGGTTACCTTTTGTACACCTTTGATCTGCCATCATCACAGAATGGCTTGAGGATGCAGGGGATGGTGCAGYTCATCCAGTGCCAGCCCCTGCCATGTCCTTCCACTGTCCCAGGCTGCTCCCAGCCCCAATGTCCAGCCTGGCCTTGGACACTGCCAGGGAYCCAGGGGCAGCCACAGCTGCTCTGGGCACCCTGTGCCAGGGCCTCCCCACCCTCCCAGCCAGCAATTCCTTCCCAATATCCCATCCAGCCCTGCCCTCTGCCACTGCTAAGCCATTCCCTGTGTCCTGTCCCTGCAGCCCTTGGCCCCAGTCCCTGTCCAGCTCTCCTGGAGCCCCTTTAGGCCCCAAAAGGGGCTCTGAGCTCTCCCTGGAGCCTTCTCTTGTCCAGGTGAGCACCCCCAGCTCTCCCAGCCTGGCTCCAGAGCAGAGGGGCTCCAGCCCTGGCAGCATCTCTGTGGCATCCTCTGGATTTCCTCCAACAGGCTGATATCCCTCCTGTGCTAAGCACCCCAGAATTTATGGATTAGAATGGATTATAATGTATTTAATTTTGCTCTGCACCAAACCCAGTAAAATTCGATCCCTTTATTTTATGCTGCCACCAGATGCAGCCATTTCAAGTAGGTGCACTGCTGCACTGTAATTAAAAGCAATCCTGTTTTCCCTCTTGAACAACCCAGTCTAGTGCCCTGTCCTTGGAAGGAGGTTGGAATGAGTTGAGTTTCGATGTCCCTTCCAACCCAAACCACATCGTGATTTTGTGTTTTAACACAAGTTCACCATGAACAATGACAGACCACATCCACACCATCTCTACATCACTGTTTTGTCTTAAACACCCATAGCCAAAGGCTTCTCCTCATGTTTCCCAGGAGCTCACCTGGGCGCACCGCCCGACGCCGCCGTTGTAGCGCCGGAAGGGGACACACTGCTTCTTCAGAGTGACATCCTTCAGGTACTTGGTGGCCTTGCGAATGTGCATGCCCTTGATGGCCTGCGCAGTCTCTCGGGTGTTCTACCAACACAGGGCACAGAAAAGACCACTGAACACATATTTTTGAGACACAAGTTACACCACTCTTCTGTCCTTTCCACAATTCTTTCTGCGGCAAAGGAAGCACTTACCAAGAAAAACATGCAAGTTAGGGAATTARTAAGTTACCAAGACTTTCTTCTTTGCTACCCACTTTTCTAACTCTTGGTATGACTGGCAATATTGAATTTGTGGCTCCAGCACAGTTTTACTGTTTTGTTCCTAACAGCTAAATCAAATTAGCAGAAATTAAACTTTTCATGAAAATTTTTATTCAAGTACTTTTACTTCTCATAGCTCCTCTTTGGCCACTTATCAAAAAAAGCAGGATCTTGATGAATAAATTCCTAATAATGTCAAACGTGGCAAGTAAGAGGAACTGGTAACAAGGTGACAATCATTAACAATGTAATTAAAATGTAATTTTCTGTCAAGGAATTACAAAAAGAAAATCCTCAGAAATAAAAATTAAGGATAAAAGATCAGTCTTCTAAATAACATTTACTAAATATGTAAGCCAGCTTTACCTATAATCCTATCTGTTTGTAATAAAAAAAGGAAACCCAACTGAAAACATCATCCAACACTGAGCAGAAAAGGATCTGCTAAGTTCTGGTTTTGTAATTAATAGCACTCTATTCTCTTCTGCATCTAAGCCTTTCCCAGAGGAACTGAGATCCTTGTGCCAACCACCACACGACCAAAAAGTGTAGGAGAAATGAGGCAAACCTCACGCCAAACACTAGCCTGGCATCTGATAAATTTACTCCTACTGTTTTTCTGTACTCTGTTATCTGAATTAAGCAGGAACAATTTTCAGATATTAACTCTTATTTTTGCAGATGGTAACTATTACAACCAGCCAATAGCAACAGTTTGAAGATGAAAAAGACACTTCCTTAAAAAAAGGGCAAGGATAAATAAATGGATACTGGGAAGCAATTCCTGTCTGAGGACAGCAGCTGTGGCTGCCCCTGGATCCCTGGTCCAAGGCCAGGCTCAGTCCCTGCCCACGGCAGAGGGTGGAACAAGATAATCCTCAGAATCCCTTTCAACCCAAGCCACACTGGGTTTCTTCTAAACAGTAACAACAAAAAGTAACAAAATCCAAGTAAAACACCAAACGAATTTGCAGTTCCTACGACACACACATTCCTTACCTTGAAGTGCACACGCAGGTTAGATCCCCGCGACTTGCATGCTGCAAAACAAAAAAAGATAAAGTTCTAGAATCAAAACCTCATTTGCTATAGTGAAATCCCACACGAACTGTACTGAAACAGCAACTCACATTTCGTGGGGTTCTCCGGATCCAGGGAGTAGCGCACCATCTTGAGAGCTCAGCTGAAAAACACCAATTAAAACATACTAAACTCCCAACWTTCGCACGCAGGACCTGGATTACTCCCCTTACCGCCGAAGCTGCTCAGGAATAACGCGTTATTTTCACAGTTACATCCAAAGGTGTCCTAAGAAAGTCATCATCGCAGCCATGATTTTTCCCAGGCCGGGCCCCTTCCCCTCGCCGCCCGCCCGCATCCCTGCCCGCCCTCCCGCAGGCCACCCCGGGGAATACCGCGGGCGCGGGGCGTGTCGGAGCGATCCCGGTGTCCGGGACTCCGGTGGCGGCGGGAATGGGGCAGGATGGGGGCGGATGGCGGCGGATGGCGCGGGACGGGCCCAGACATGGCTCCTCACCTCGGGGCGGCGGCCGTAGAGGAAGAGGAAAGGCGGGGCGCGCCCACAGCGCGAGAACGTCTCGCGAGATTTCCGCCGGGAACGGCCCCGCCCCCAAAATGGCGGCGCTGTGAGGGCGGAGTGTGCCGGGAGCCCTTCCCTCGCTGTCCCTGTGAATAAAACCATGGCTCGGAGAAAGACACTGCACTGCTCAGCCTGTCATGGGGGAAGGCATCGCGGTACTCACCCTCAGCTCACTCTGCAGGCGCTTTTAGTGAGGAAATCAGCGTGCGTCAGGCACAGCACCGCCCGCCGGTCAAAGGGAGGGCATTGTCCCGCTCCGCATTTGTGCGGCCTCGTCTTGAGTCTTGTGAGCAGTTTTGGTCACCGCAATGTAAGAAAGCGTCCAGAGTGAGGATGAGAAAAGGGTGAAGGGTCTCAAGGGGAAGACGTGTGAGGAAAGGCTGAGGGCACTTCGGTCTGTTCAGCTGGAGAGAGGAAAGACTCATCGCAGTTTAAACATCCTGTGAGGGCAGGAGGGTCAGGCACCGATCTCTTCTCTTTGTTGACCACTGACAGGACCCGAGGGAACGGCTGGAGCAATGTCAGGGGAGGACTAGGCTGGATATCAGAAAAAAGGTCTTCCTCCAGACGATGTTGGGGCACTGCCCAGGCTCCCCAGGGAATGGTCCCAGCCCTGAGGCTGCCAGAGCTCCAGGAGCGTTTGGACAGCGCTGCCAGGGATGCACAGGGGGGATTGGTGAGGAGCTGAACTCGATCGTCTTTGTGCGTTCTTTCCAGCTCAGGACATTTTGTGATTCATTTATTTAGATTGGAAAAAACCGCCAAGACCATGGAGACCAAGCTGTGCCTGATCCCCACCTTGTTCCCAGCCCAGAGCCCTGAGTGGCACCTCCAGGGGTAGGGACTCCCCACACTTCCCTGGGCAGCCCCATTCAAGGCCATTTCCATGAGGAGATTCCTCCTGATATCCAACCCAAACCTCCCCTGGCACAGACCAAGTTACCTCTTGTTCTGCCCCTTGTTCTCTGGGAGCAGAAACCGACCCCTACCTGAGATCACAGACTAGTTAAGTTTGGAAAAGACCCTTAAGGTAATCAGGTCTAAGTCTCATCCCAGCAGTCATCACCAGGTTCACCATTAGATGGCAGCTCAGGATGGGAATAGAGCAGCACATCACTCACAGAGGTGTCCAGGAGATCAGAACGAAGAGATTAATTCAAATACGTATTTATAAACCTCAGCTGGTATTTACTGCACTGTTAAAAAATAATCACAGACTGACTCATTAAAATAAAAGATTTTTTTTCCCATTTTAGGCAGCATTTGTGACTAGAACTGCTTGGAAAGACTGACAGAGCAGCTCAATAAAGTTTTCCGAAAGTGGTACCCAGCTGCAGCAAAAGTCTCATTGAGAAAAAATTGACAGAATGGGGAAAAAAAAGAGACACATACTGCTAACAGGGCACCTTCGCAGCACAAAAGTCTTAGTTTAACTAACTATTAAACTGAGTTTAKAAATAAGCAGAGGAAGAACTTGCTGTCCATGTAAATGCTCTGAGCAGGAGGCTATTTTTGGATTTCTTGTTTAGGGCTAAAAACCCCCAAAGCTCTGCAGCTAGGATTTCACCCAGATGGGAAGATGAAAATATTTGAGCTATCACAAATATTTACTAGTTTTTATTGCAGCTTTCCATTTACCTGCTTTAAAATGTGCCTTTCACTTTGGTTTCGGGGAAGCTCTCTGCAGTCTCCAAGCAGCTTCCAAGCTCTGATCTCCACGAGGGGAAACATGCTGGGATGTGGACAAATATTTCTTCTCTTTATCACAGAATCAAAGGATAGTTTGGGTTGGAAGAAACCTTGAAGATCATCTCGTCCTATYCCTTGCCRTGGACAGGGACACCTTCCACTATTCCATATTGCTCCAAGCCCTGTCCAGCCTGGCCTTGGACACTGCYGGGGATCCAGRGGCAGCCATTCTCTGGGGAACACKGTATAGCACTAAGTTTCCAGGTACCATAAATTAAAACTGAGTAAAGCTGAMGTCCTCAAGCACTTCCACAGCCTTACCCACCATACTGTGGGAATCCCCTCTCACTGCACACCTGAATACAGCTCTTGGTCCTTTCTGCCCTTCCCTCTGCACCTTCTTCTGCTTTTTGCTGGGGCAAGAACCCAGCCTTTCCATGGGAAACACATTTACACACAACTTCTTGTCAGCAGAGCACAGAAGGAAGGAGACATCAAAGGAAAGCTGGAGGAGAGGTGTGCAACACAAGTACTTGACAAGTGATGGGGATTATCGCCTGTGTTCACCAATGAAACCCAAAATTAACACGTTTTCARTTTCCCTACAGGTGGAACTGTTTTCCTCAGCTGCTCAGGGCTTGCAGTGGTGGAAGGCTATCACAGAATCACAGAATATCCTGAGCTGGAAGTGACCCACCAGGATCATCGAGTCTGACACCTGGCTCTGCACAGACACCCCAACAATCCCACCCTGTGCTCGAGAGCATTGTCTAAATGCTYCTGGAGCTCTGGCAGCTACTGGGGCTATACTGTGACCTCTTCCTTGAGGTACACGTTTTCAGCTTTGTTGGGAGCTTGACAAGTGCTGTCATGGGTAGCCTAGAACATAACTGGTGCTGGGGTGTGGGCTGAGGCAGCTGAACTTGTGCCCTTGCTGGGATTTAACCAGGTTATTCCCCCTCTGCACCACCTGCCTTGGATATTTGGGTTGTATGAGCTGATTTGAACAAAGCTTTTGGATCCTAACCAGAAAATTCAGATGGGCAAGCCCAAAATCATATTCTTGAAAACTCCTGTGTGGGAAGCAGCTGCCCCCTAATTGTACTGGAACCTCAGTTCCTTAGGACATTACCTTAAATTCCGYTGATGCCATCCCTCTTTCTCCTCTGCTTGTACAGCCCAGCCCCAGATCTTGTGTTGTGCATGCCCAAGGAGACCTCACTGTCCCAACAAATTCCCWGCTGTGCTTGGCTCTGAGCAAACCTCTGTTGTGTGCTCTGGGARCTCCTGCTGGGAACATCTCCCGTAAAGGGCTGCTCACAATGGCAGCAGAGGTTTCTGCCAGCTTYTCTGCTCTGGTGTCAGGCTGGAAGAGCTGGGGGGTTCTTTTGGAGAAGAGAAGGATCCAGGGAGACCTTAGAGTACCTTCCAGTGCCTAAAGGGGCTCCAGGAGAGCTGGACAGGGACTGRGGACAAGGGCATGAGTGCCAGCAACAGTGCCAGGGGAAACCATTTCCCCTGACTGAGGGCAAGGACAGATGGTAAGAATTTCTTGGCCATGAGGGTGGGGAGGCCCTGGCACAGGGTGCCCAGAGCAGCTGTGGCTGCCCCTGGATCCCTGGCAGTGTCCAAGGCCAGGCTGGACAGRACTTGGAGCAATCTGGTAAGTGAAAGGTGTCCCTGCTCATTGCAGGGGTTGGAATGGATAAGTTTTAACATCCCTTCCAACCCAAACCATTCAATRATCACATGATTCTCTCCTCTGGCACTACTACTGGGGCTGGGAAGGTCTGCACCCCTCACCCTGTGATGGAAAGGCCCAGCAGGCAGCAGGGAGTGTACAGGTACAGGAGTGTTGGCTCACGTAAGTCATTTTGTGTGTTTAGCTGTGAGTAGACAAGTGGCCTTATCAGTGTTGCTGGGAGCCAAATGTGACAACCAGCCAGTGCCCCTGACAGTCATCGTCCCTCCTGGCCAGAGGGACAGATGTSCTCCAAGACTGGCTGGAGTTACATTTTCATTGGCTAGGGCTATGTTTTTGTGGCAGATCTAGAACCACAAAGWGTTCATTTCCAGACAGGGGATCTTCCCGTTCACCTTCCAGGCTGATACTCAGCTCAAGCACATGCCTGGCTTGGGGCTGTCACTTCTAACAGAGGAGCAGGGGGAGCCACAGGAGGGGCTGTGCTAAACCCACTGTAATACACAGAGACACTAGAGCTGACTGGCTAAGGTGAACTCCTGCTTGCTGAAATGCACCCTGTATCTGCTGTGCTGTAGGAAAGGGTCTGACCTGTTCTTTGCAAAGGAATGGAAGCCAATTCCTCAAATCTTTTTGTAGATATCTTGGCATTTCTCTTAGAGACCCTGCTTTTGGAGTCCAAGGGTTATGTGGCAATATTAAACTGTCATTCATGAAATTACACACAAATGGTTGCTTGTCTTAATGTTTAAGCAGAAAATCTTGAAGACAAAGACATTTTAAATTGAAACCAGCTTGAATGCTGCAAACACTGTGACTTTCCAAACATCCGACAGCTGCCTCACCTTCTTTTTCTGAAATCCTCTCTGGTGATGAGCCTTTGGTCTCCTGCCTCCTCCCAGATGCATGGCTCCTCCAGAGGCACATCTCATCCCCACTGTTTTGTCTTTTCCTGCCACAGCCAGCAAAACGGCAGCACTTGAACATAAGATATAGGACRGTTCTCCAGCTAAGCTCTTTCCACAAACTTCATAAAATCTGCTTATCCAGGCAGTGAATTGCAGGAGCAAGATCATAGAATCACAGACTTACTGAATATTTTGGGTTGAAAAGGACTTGAAAGATCATCCAGTTCCAGCCCCCCTGCTATGGGCAGAGGCACTTYCCACYATCCCAGCTTGCTCCAAGCCCAGTCCAACCTGGCCTTGAACACTTCCAGGAATGGGGCAGACATAGCTGCTCTGGGCCTCCTGTGCCAGGACCTCCTCACCCTCACAAACAAGAATTCCTTTCCAATATCATACCTATCCCTGCCCTCTGTCACTGGGAAGCCATTCTCTGTATCCTGTCACTCCATGAAAAGSGGGAAATGCACCTTTAAAAGATGGACTGACCTTCATCAGAAATTTTCTCTGCATCAGCAATTCTTAGTCACTTGAAGAGCTCAGTTTTGTTATATATTCTTCTCTGGGACTTTTAAGAAGAGATGCTCCCCTAGGGACCCAGCAGATCCTTATTGAAGCA